TAATTCATCTCTCTCCTTTTTTTAATTGCCAGAAGGTTCATGCATTTGCCAGAGACAGAGAAAAAAGAGAAAGACAAGGAGAGGGAAAAAACACTCCTCCCAGTGGGGCGTGGGCCATAATCCCTTCTCTGTTTCTCTGTCTTGTCGGGATTTTTGACACACATGTATATGTGTGCCCAGAGTGTTTTTCAAGCCACCCGGCTGGGATTTGAACCATAGTTGGCCATGTGGGATCTGGCTCCCTTAACCACTAGGCCATGGGCCAACCCAGTTTCATCTCTTTCCTCAGTGAAATACAGGCTATCTGTGCTGCACTCCACTGCTCTCCTTGAAAGCAGAAGAAAAGGCTATGGAGTTTTTAAGACAGGACAGAAGTAAGGTAAATTTCTCCAGTGACCGGAACAGCTGAATGTGTGGTCTGAGTGGGAGGCAGCTGTGGATTAGAGAATAAACATAAAAATAAACTCACAAAAACACACAAGTAGAGAAAAGCGGGGATTGGGTGATCTGGACTCCTCTGATGGAGGCAGCCAACCCAGAAGCTGGTTCCAGCTTTATTCTTTTAAAGGGGAGAAAAGGGGGAAAGGGAAAGTGGAATGCAAAGTCAGTTGTTTTCAGATGTTAATTGACTGAAGATGTGAAGACATCTGGCACCAGGTAGTTCTATGTAAGTTTTCTCTTACCTTCTCAGGTCTTTTCTGATTAACACCTGTGGCTTCCTTTAACAAACTGCAGTTTCAAACACAGAGGCAGTTAGTGTATTCATATGTTAATGGAGATCGGTTTAGTCCTGCAAAGGATAGCCTATAAAACCCATTTCTGCACATTGTGTTTGCTCAGATTCGGCTGCTTCCTATAGCCTAGTACATGTTTTTATATCTTTCAAGGAGGAGCCTTAAAATCTTAGATAAAACTTAATCATCCTTACGCGTTAACTTTGCGTTCTCTCTTTCAGCTTCCTATAAAACAAAAGCAAACAAATATGATAGCCAACCAAGCAGCTTGGTGGTGAAGGCTGCTGGATCTCACCTGGCCAACTGAATAGTTCAAGTTCCAGACTGGTGGCTTGAAAAATCATACTGGGCATGTGTGTGTGCGCGTACATGCTTAAAATCCTAAGAGGGAAATGGAGGAGAAGGGATTGGTGTGGCTGTCACCACACCACGCCCTGGGGGTGTCATTTCTTATTTTCTCTCTCCCTCTCTCTCTGCCACCCTCCTGTGAGCACACATGCCCTATAGCAAATTAAAGCAAACATGAAAAAACACTCAACTGTTTACTAATGAATCTCCATGACTTGGCTTAATTCCCAAAATATATAAAGTGCTTTGAGTCATAAGGAATTGTCCAGGCAAAGCCAAATGGGTCACTGGAGGGTTGGGAAACAAAGACAATATTGTATATCAGGTTTAAAATGTTTAAAAGTCCAACATTGGCAGTTTTCCATTTATGCAGAAAGTCAACATTTATGGTACATATTTGCTCTAAAGAAAGATTTTTCTTACTGATCATGGATAGAAATCTTCCCAAAAACTTTCACAAAACCAGACAAAAAGCACCCTGTTTAACAGATGTTAAAATTTTCACTATTTTAATTATTATGTCACCTAAGTATCTACCCACCTCCTTAGAGCATCTCTTTATTTCTTTGCAGAAAGATTTAAATAAGCAATCTGTTTTCTTTCTAAATATTTTTGGTTTAACAATAGTACCTCTCTCCCTTGTATTTTAGTCCTGACTATTAAACAGTAAAAATGCTAATTAGTAGCCTCTATCTGCAAAGAAAAAGTTATTTCTTGATGGGTGAAGCTTCAAGCAAAGATAGAGACCTTATAGGGTGTTAAGTTAAATGGGTTAGGTTTCAGTGCTCAGGGGAAGGGATTAAGACTGAGTTGACCAACTCAGAGAGATTCTGGCTTAGCAGGAAAACTAAACTGAGATCAGAATGTATCAAAGATACCCACAAGACTAATACTATCAAAATGCAGATATTGATTGTAATTGTAGGGCAGTGAAAATAGGGGGAAATATTCTTTGTCATTCTTTTTAACGTGGAGCTGACTTCAGGCATAAAATAATGCACATGGAATTAATTTTATTTCTCTCCTATGTACTGATTATTTCTGGAGCAACATTGAGCTAAGGTGAAAGCCATATTCCTAGATATGTTTGACTCTGTCTAACCAACAAAAAGATCCTTACTAGATGCAGTCTTTGTACTTTAGACCTCCAAACTGTGAGCTGAATAAACCTCAATTCTTATAAATCCCCCATTTCAGGTATTTTCTGTTATTAACCAATCAGTGAACTAGAATAGGAGGAATAATAAGTCATCTCATTAAAATGATACAAAGGAAAAAAAATACAGTAATAAATCACATTAACAGAAAAAGACAGAAACTATATGATCATATCTATAGATTCAGGAAAAGCATTTGATAAAATACATCTTTTCATGATCAAGACTCTTAGCAAAATAGAGTTAGAAGAGATATTCCTCACCACAAAAAGTCATATACAACAGACCTATTGCAAACATCATATTGGGTTGTTGGAAAAGTCATGACACATTTTTGCATAGGACAAATATGTCATGACTCTTCCGACAACCCAATACTAAATGGAGAAAAGCTGAAAGCCTTCCCACTAAAAACTAGAACAAGACAAGGCTGTCCACTTTCTCCACTCCTTTTCAACATAGTCCTAGCCAATGCAATCAGACAAGAGAACAAAATAAAAGGCATTCAAATAAAAAAGAAAAGGCTAAACTGTCCCTATTTGCAGATGTAAAATAAAATCTACTAGGGGACCAGCAGATATCATAATGGCTATGTCGCTGGACTCCCACGTTGTCAACCGCAGTTCGAGTCCTGGACCCGGTGGCTTAAAATTCACACCAGGCGCGTGTGCATGCGTGCCCAAGATCCCAAGAGGAGAATGGAGGAGAAAGGATTGCGGCATGGCCATCCCCTCTGGAGGGTGATTTCTCGCTTTCTGTCTCTCTGTCTCTCTCTATCTGTCTGGCGAGCACACACACCCTATAGCAAAAACCTCTCCAAAAAAAGAAAAAAAAATCTACTAGAACTGATCAAAGAATTCAATAAAGTAGCAGAGTCAATATACAAAAATCTATATCATTTTTTTTTTTGAGAGGTTTTTGCTATAGGGCGTGTGCGCTTGCCAGACAGACAGAGAGAGACAGAAAGCAAAAATCACCCCCCAGGGGGGATGGCCACGCTGCAATCCCTTCTCCTCCATTCTCCTCTTGGGATCTTGGGCACGCATGCACACGCGCCTGGTGTGAATTTTAAGCCACCGGGTCCAGGATGCGAACCGCGGTCAACTACATGGGAGTCCAGCAACATAGCCATTACGCTAACTGCTGGTCCCAAAAAATCTATATCATTTTTACACTTAACAATGAACAGACCAATTGCTTTGAGGAAAGCAGTTCCACTTACAATAGACACAAAATGAACAAGATACCTAGGAATAAACCTAACCAAAGAGGTTAAAGACCTCTACAAGGAAAACTATGAAAAACTGAAAAAAGAAATTGAGTAGGATATAAGAAAATGGAAGGACATCCTATGTTCTTGGATTGGAAGAATCAATATAATCAACATGTCAGTTTCGCCCAAATTTATATATTCAGTGCAATTTCGATCCAATTGCCTGTGATATTCTTCACAGAAATAGGAAAAACAGATTCTTAAAATTTGTCTAGAATCATAAAAGACCCCTTTTTCACCAAGGCAATACTGTGGAAAAAGAATAAAGTAAGAGATATCTCACTACCCAACTTCAAAATATAATACAAAGTAGTGATAATCAAAGCAGAAGGGTACTAGCACACAAATAGACACATAGACCAATGGGACAGAACAGAGATGCCAGGAATAAACCCCAAATCACACAGCCAACCCATCTTTGACAATGGGTACAAGACAACACAGTGAAGAGAAAGTCAGCAAATAGCGCTGAAAGAACTAGATAGCCACCTGCAGAAAAATGAAACTGAACCCCTATCTTTCACCAGTAACAAGAATCAACTCAAAGTGGATCAAAGATTTGAATATATAGCCTCAAACCATAAAACTACTAGTAGAAAATGTAAGGGAGACTCTTGATATTGGAACAGGCAAAGATTTCTTAAATAAGACCACTAATGCACAGGTAATAATCCCCAAAATAGAAAAATGGGATTACGTCAAGCTGAAAAGCTTCCTCACAGCAAAGAATACAATAATTATAGTGAAAAGACAATAGGAGAAAATTTTGGCAAGTTATCCCTCAAATAATTGATATCCAGAATATATAGGGAATTCAAGCAGCTTACCCATTAAAAAATGAATATTCCAAATTAAAATCCACAAATGAATAGACAACTCTCCAAGGAAGACTTAAGAATGGCCAAAAGGCACATGAAAAAATGTCGAGTCTCTTGTTATAAGGGAACTATAAATTAAAACCACAATGAGATACCATTTAACCCCAGTTAGAATTGCTAGGATTAAAAAAATAATAAGTGCTGGTGAGGCTGTGTTGAAAAGAGAACCCTCTTACACCATTGGTGAGAATGTAAAATAGTACAACCCGTGGAAAGCAATGTGAGAGTTCCTTAAAAAACCTACAAATAGGGACCAGCAGTTAGCGTAATGGCTATGTCACTGGACTCCCATGTAGTCGACCGTGGTTCGCGTCCCGGACCCAGTGGTTTAAAACTCACGCCGGGTGCGTGTGCATGCGTGCCCAAGATCCCGAGAGGAGAATGGAGGAGAAGGGATTGCGGCGTGGCCATCCCCCCTGGGGGTGATTTCTCGCTCTCTGTCTGTCTCTCTCTGTCTGGCGAGCACACGCTCCCTTTAACAAAAACCTTTCCAAAAAACAAACAAACAAACAAAAAACCTACAAATAGAACTACCATGTCACCCAGTAATCCCACTCCTTGGTATTATATATACATACATACATACATACTATGGAATATTACTCAGCTATAAGAAACAGTGAGATCTTATCACTTGATTCAAACTGGATGAATATGGAAGACTTAATGTTAAAGGAAGTGAGCCATACTTTGAAGGAACACACTATATAGCCCCACTCAGTTTGTACCAACTGTCTGGACCCTGTGGCAGAGATTGGGTGATCTGAAGATATGATGGTAGAGAGGACAAATGTAGATACTAGAGACTGAAAGGGAGGAGAGTGGATGGTAGAGGGTGGGTGTGACGTGCAAAGGGAACAAACATTTAACCGACCAAAAAACTGAAAAGTTTCCTGTTGAAAAAAAATTATATATCTATACACACATATATATCTATTACATACATCATGATGGGGACTTTTATTAAAGTGTGAAATTAATCTGGGAGGAAAAAAAAAGCCAAAACATCACAAAATGCATGTAGACTAAGCATGTAGTATATTAGCACTCAGAACAGCACATGAACAAATGGGAGAAATCAGAGGTGAGTCCTGCTTCCACTGCCCAATGGCTAAAATCCAAATATTTTAGCTTGGTATTCAGTGTCTTGGATTCGGTGTCCTTTCCACTTTCCAGCCCTTTTCCTGCAAATGCCAGACATTCTGCAGTGCATCTTACATTTGCCCACCTCCATGTCCTTGTGTCATTCCCACCACTCACAGCCTCCATTTCTCAAAATTCTATCCTTTTCTCAAGGCTTTGGAATCCTACCATATTTAGAAATTTTGGGGGATTCTCACCTTCTCCTTATCTAAAGTCTGGTCCTTGCTGTCTACAGTACTTGCAGAGGCATAATCCACAGATTGCTTGTTGCCCCAGCGCACTGCAGGCTCCCGCAAGGCAGAGGCCACACAGACAGTGCCCCTCTCTGTGCACTGCTGCCACACAGACCTTGGTGCCTCGCCAAGAGTAGGTGCTGAATAGACTCATGATTGAATGAATGATGATTTCTCACCCTGCCCCTGTTGTGCTCTTGGACAAAACACTTTGCCTCTTCCAGTCTCAGTTGCCTCAGCTGTGAACAGAGGATAACAGCATGGATGTACTCCCCAGGTGTGCCGTGAAGAATAAGCCAATGACTGAAAAGCAATTTGAAAATGTAAAATGAAATGCTATATATAAATGTTACATAATCAAAATCATTTCCCTCTGTATTATGTTTTATTTGGCTTTATATCTTCGAATCCTTTGTGGGTTTCAGAATTTCACAGATGCAATATCATCCACATTAGCACCTACATTCTCTTGGGTAATAAACGATTTTGTGTATTATAGCTCACGGCTACTTTTCCCTGGCATACTCACACATGAATCTGTCATAATTTGGGGTATTCATAATAACTAATGATACAATTCACATCTAAGGGACAATCCTTTTTTTTTTTTTTTTTCACTTTTTGGCCTGCAAGCTATTATTCCCACAATGCTGCCTCAAGGGAACTAACTCCCATTAGTATAAAATCCAGATGATGAGCACACTGCTTAAAGCCCAAATCTTCTAGAACCTAAAATGAGACCTGAAAAGTGGTTGGGGTTTGAAGCACTACTTGTTTTCTGTGGCCCTCTTTGTCCCAGATGGTGAATCCCTCCCTTACTTTATTGTGGTGTATGTGCTTCCAAGCACTTGCTGTCGTGTGGCTTCCTAGGTACCGGGAAAGCTGTGGATGAGGCAAAGTAGCCCCTTCCACATGAAAGCAAGGCAATGCGATGTTTAATGTTTAAAACGATATTTTCTTTCTTAGTATGTTTCAAGAAAGAGGTTGCCTATAGAAAAATTAATTTTCCTGAAATATCTCCAGTTCCTATCAAATCAGCCTTTTGACTTTTAGTGCATAGTAAGATAGTAGTCCTAGAATAATCCTTCAATTTAGAAAGATATTCTAAGGAAAAAGAGATGGGAGCAATATCATAGAGTTCTTGTGAGGATCAGGTGAGTCACTGGATATAAAGGGTTATATGGCACATGCCATATAATAAGTAGTAAGTATTAGGGCTTGTTATCAGTAAAAGGCTTAGTATAAGCCTGGCCCTGTGCTAGGCTCTCATTTGATCTGCATAATGAACTCAGAAAAAAACTAATCACCTTGGGACCAGCAGATGGTGTAATGGTTACTTCACTGAACTCCCCTGTAGCTGACCATGGTTCAAGTCCCAGACTCGGTGGCTTGGAATCCATACCGGGCACATGTGCATGTGTTCCCAAAATCCCGAAAAGATACTGGAGGATAAGGGATTGCAGCATGGCCATCCTCCCGGGAGGTGATTTCTCGCTTTCTGTCTCTTTGTCTGTCTCTGTTTGTCTCTGTCTCTCCAGTGAGTGCACATGCCCTAGAGCTAAAAAAATTTTTAAAAATTAAAAACACCTCTCTAAAAGAAAAACCCTAATCACCTCCACTTCCCCACCCCATTTAGCTTAGAGAAACTAAGCAACTTGTCCAACATCAAGTTAGTTAGGAGTTAGTAAGGAATAAAGAGAAAATCCAAACCTTCACTTGTGGGTTTTCCACTGTACACGGAGAACTCTCTACTGTTCTTAGTTTTGGTTTATGTAAGGAGATTGCACTAATTAATTTTAGGTGTCAATTTGACTGTACTATGGGGTGCCCAGATTAAACATTATTTTTGGATGTGTCTGTGAGGGTGTTTCTGGATGAGATTAACATTTGAATCAGTGAACTCAGTAGTTTTCTCTCCTTAGTTTGGGCCTGAATAGAATGAAAAGGCAGAAGAAGGAGAAATGCACCTCTTTTGCTTTCTGCCTGCCTGCATGAGCTGGGACATCAGACTTCTCCTGTCCTTGGGCTGAGATTTACACTGTCAATTACCTTGATTCTCAGACCTCAGACTTGGTACAGAATTATACTACCAGCCTTCCTAGGTCTCTAACTTGCAGACCACAAAATGTGGGCCTTCATAACTGAGTGAGTCAATTCCTCATAATAAAGCAGTATCATATACACACACATACATATATACATATACACGTATCTCCCCTTGGTCCTGGTGCTCTAGTGAACCCGGACTAAGAGACTACAATGCCCTCCACTCCTAAAGCATATCTTTCCTTTCTAAATAGCTAATTCCTCAGTTACTCATTTTGTTATGAAGTTTTAAAACTAAGAGTAGTCTTTTTAATCTTTTCTAGTGATTCCTAAACAATTTCTTTAGTTTTGTAACAGGCCATCGTTTTTCAAGATTGTTGTAGTCTCCCACCAGGCTTATTTTCAATGGCATCAATTTTTAAGAAGCCCTGTTTAGGGCCGGCAGGTGGTGTGGAAGCTAAGGGACTTGATCCCATGTGCTGGCTATATGGTTTGAGTCCTCAGCCCCGTGACCTGAAAATCACACTGGGTGCATGTGCATGTATGTCTGAAATCTCAAAATCCCCAGGAGAACATGGAGAAGATGGGATTGCAGTGTGGCCATCCCCCTGGGGGTCAATTTCTCACTTTCTCTCTCTCTTGTGAGTGCATGCATCCTATAGAAATCAACTAAAAAAGAAAAAAGCCCAATTTAATTTTTCTTCTGGAGAACATACAATGAAATCCCAAGTTTTTGAGAAACAAAACCTACCCCCTCCCCATTTCTGTTACCACATTTTAACTTGGGTGGCAATACAAGTCTCTTATAGGTCAGTCGCTTTGTCACCCAGATGTAATGAGATAGCATTGTGTTGTGGGTGGTGTCACACTACCTGCAAATACAGTACCAGAGAAACCTCTATTACAACAATAGCTAGCTCCCAGTGTGGTGCAAACTAACACCATACTTTAGTTTGCCCAGTATACCTACATGATACGTTGTGGTCCACACAGTAGTTAATATTTAAAAGTACATTACCATTAAATTCTCTCTCCCATCTCTGTGAAATTGGCCAGAAATATCTCTGCAGTTTTTCAAATAGGAAACTGAGATACAGAAAGTTAACCCTTGCCCATGGACTCAGAATGAATGCATAGCAGAACTGGTGTTAGGATCTGCAGTTTCTGACCGAACCGCTTCCAATTGTGAAGTTTTCCCAAAGTGAATGACTGTATGTTGAGAGAAATAGTGGGAATAGGAGAGAAGAAATGATACTGTTCACTTAAGTAAAATCTCAACTCTGGGTCTGCTTCTATAATTCTTCCTGTTTTGATGATTCATTCCCATTAACAGCCTGCAAACATTTGCCAGTACAAAAGTAGACAGTGAGGGCTCTGTAGTGATGCACTGCTTAAGAGAAGCCAGATGCCACACGGCAGCTGCAGTTCAAGTCTCAGCCTGGTCAGCTTGCAAACATGCTGGGCTCATGCATGAGTACCCAAGATCCTACAGGCTGGGGGACTGGAGGAAAGGGATCACTGCATGACCATGCCCTGTGGAGGGTGTCTCCCTCTCCTGTGTGCAAGTTTCGGAAGTGGAAAAAAAAAAAAAAAAAAAAAAAAAAAAAGATTATGAGGGCCCTTTCCCTTCATTTCCGTTTATAGAATGAAAGGATAATAATCCAGTGAGGTTAAATAAATGGAAATTGCACATATAAAGAGGAATTGTTCAGACCTATTTTCTCATTTCAACCCCATTTTCTTCTCTTTTTGGCAGTCGGTACTATGATAAGAGCAACGCATTTGCAGCGTTTTGTAGCCATTGTCATGGTGTCCCCCTTAAGCAGCTAACCACAGTGGGCCAATTCTCCATATGCTGTTTTATGGCCAAGGAAATAAGGGTAAATGGAGGTTAAGTGACTGCTAGGAGCACTCGCCAGGGCAGCTGCTCAGATTAGAATCCATGACTCCTACCCTCACATCTTACTGAAATTCAGAAGATTCTAAAATATTGTTTTAGTGTCAGAGCAGGAACAGTAGCTGCAGACAAATTTGCTTACCATTCACAAAGAGACTAGGCCAGTTTCCATGGTCCCAGCAAAATCTTCTCACCCCCAAGCCACTTCACAAACTTCCTCAACCTTTTGAATGAAAGAAAATTCCTTTTGTAAATTGATTGGAAGTGAACAAGTTACTTTCACATTCAGATTTTTAGTGTTCTTATTTCACTGAGAGAGATACAGGCACCCCTGATAGGATTGGCTCAAAAGGCAATGCCCTTTACCCAGTCCTCCTGCTAGTTAGGATCTTGGGTGAGCACGTGCACTGTGTTTCAGGCTCATTCAGGATCTGAACCCATGGTCAGCCGTGTGGCTCTCAGCACTGTAGATCGATGTGCCACTTCCTGTGCCACTGAAGCTTGGCTCAGATTTTCACAGTCTTCTGTTTGTTTAATACAGATAGTATAGTATTAGCATGAGTTCTTGCAGTAACAAATAGATCTCACTTTCCCTTGTAGAATATGGAGAAGGCTCAAATTCAAAAGATTGCGATGCGGGGAAATGGCAAGGTATTTAAGTATGTAAGTCTTGTGTCTAAGTGATAAGTTCTTATCAAAAACCAACTGCAGGGACCAGCAGATGGCATAATCATTGTGTCACCGGACTCCCATGTAGTCGACCACAATTCAAGCCCCAGACGGTGGCTTGAAACTCACACTGTGTGTGTGCCCAAAATCCAGAGAGGAGACTGGAGGAGAAGGGACTGTGGCATGGCCATCCCACCTGGGGAGTGATTTCTCACATTCTGTCTCTCTTTCAGGTGAGTGTATATACCCTATAGCAAACATCTCTTTCTAAAAAGAAAAAAAAAAAAAAAACAACAACAACAAAAGGTGGTTAAAATATTAATGTAGTCTGGGAGCTGGCAGGTGGGCATGGTGGTTAAGGTGGCTGGACTCCCACATGACAGTGGTTCGAGTCCTGGACCTGGCAACTTGCTTTCTCACTTTCCTTCTCTCCCTCTGTCTCTCTCTGGTCAACTTCAAAAAACTAAAATTAAAATAATGACAATGAATAAAATTAAATAATTGTTTAAAAAAATATTTGAATGGGGGCTGACAGGTGGCATGGCATGGTGGTTAAGTGTGCTGAATTCCGACATGGCCAACTGTGGTTTGAGTCCTGGACCTGGTGGCTTTCTTTCTCACTTTCTCTCTCTCTCTCTCTCTTCAAATTAAAATAAATAAATAAATAAAGTTAAAATAATTCTTTAAAAATTTTTAAAAAATGAATGTAGTCTGAATATGCTGTCTTTTACATGTCATCCATTCTTTTAAATTTTCTTTAAAAAAAAAAAGTAAAGTTTACTTATTTCTCTGAGAGGAAACAGGCACCCTCAAGAGGGTCTTCATGCCATGATCTACCCCTAGTTTCATCCAGCCAGGATCACGGGTAGATGTGCACAATCTGGCTTACACAAGGAGACCTCTATGTACAAACATTGCACCTTTCCATGTGACTCCAGCATCATGGAACGTTGTTGTTTCTGCTGTACTAGCTGCTCCATGTCATTTATTATTTTTTTTAAAAAAAGAATTATTTATTGGGACCAGCAGTTAGCGTAGTGGCTATGTCACTGGATTCTCATGTAGTCAACCGTGGTTCAAGTCCTGGACCCGGCGGCTTAAACTCATGCTGGGCACATGTGTGTGTGTGCCCAAGATCCTGAGAGGAGAATGGAGAAGGAATTGTGGCGTGGCCATCCCCCCCTGGGGAGTGATTTCTCACTTTCTGTCTGTCTCTCTCTGTCTTTCTGGCGAGCACATGCGCCTTATAGCAAAAAAAAAAAAAAAAATGATTTATTTATTAATTCCATTTGTTGTTATTCTTTTTTAATTTGACCAGAGAGAGAGAAGGGAAAAATGAGAAAGAAAGCTGCCAAGTCTGGGACTTGAACTATGGTTGGCCATGTGGGAAGCTAGCATCCCAACCACCACACCACCTGCTGGCCCCCTACACATCATTTATTCTACAAAAAATGGGATCTGTTACTTCTCTGAAAACCCATGGATCCTTTTGGCTGGAACTGTCATCTTCCAGTAATTAACCAAAATGATGAACACAAACGGAAAGAAGAGAGGCATCCGATACACATTCTCTGGTCTTTGGCAACATATATGTGAATCTACAAGAAAGGTGATATTGTAGACATGGAGGGAATGGGTACTGTTCAAAAAGGAATGCCCACGAATGTTACCATGGCAAAACTGGAAGCATCTACAATGTTACCCAGCATGCTGTTGGCGTGGTTGTAAACAAACAAGTTAAGGGCAAGATTCTTGCCAAGAGAGTTAATGTGTGTATAGAGCATATTAAGCATTCTAAGAGCAGAGATAGCTTTCTAAAACATGTGAAGGAACATGACCAGAAAAAGAAGAAAGCCAAAGAGAAAGGTACCTGGGTTCAACTAAAGCCCCACCCTGTTAAGCCTGAGCTACTGGAACCTATTCCCTATTAATTCATGGCATGATGGATGTTAAAAATAAACTAACCTATGGTCTATTAAAAAAAAAAAACATGGATGATTATATCTTTATCGAACAAATGCGAAACCTTGGAAATCAGGACATGAAAGTCACATGTTTTAATTCTAACTTACTTCATAAAAGTAAATTCCCTTTATTTCCTTTTTTCATCATCTGATGTAGACACTATAGTAAGTACAGTCATCAGCTGGTGTTTGGCTCCTATTACCAGGGTGATTTTTAAAATAATCATTAGTATCTGCGAAAAACCTTCACAGGGTGTTAATATGATAAGCACTGTTGGCAAACTTTTTCTCTGGTTACATCCAGAAGTGTGAGCGAAAAAAAAAAACAAAAAACAAGGAAATATATTTCTTCCATGAGAATTTCCTGATTATTCCAGTCAAAGATGATGTTTCCTGACAGGCTTCAATGGGGAGGCTTGCAGAGAGGTTAATAAAAACAAATAGAAGTACATAATTTTAAAAACAAATCAAAGTGGAATTCTCTTGTTAGAACCAAGTAGGGAATAGAATCTTTATCCTTGGTCTTCTCACCTCTTGTTTGGGACCTCCAGCCCTGTCCCCAACCCACCCTCATCTCCCATCCCAACCTGGGCAGAGGCCCAATGTATATCCCATTTGTGTGGCATTCATCGAATTATTTGTGGGCAAAGGCCATTCTCCTGGGCCACTGGAATGGAATGGTCTTTTTTACTTGAATATGTGTGATTTTTGCACCACTGACTTATTAATTTCTTAGGCCCTGCTAAAGACTATCCAGGTCCTGTTTTTCTTGTCTTTCTGATGACCTACCAATGGACCTTTTTCTTTCCCCATTAAGAAAGGATTTTGAGGACTCAGAGTTTGAAATTCAGTGCAGGCCAGAGCTCACCTAAGAGCTGCAGCCTCTCTAGGGAGGGGCCGTTTCACAATCCCTTTGTCTTCCTTCTCTTCAGTAACCTCATCTGAACCTTCTTATGAGACGGTCAGTGATATGGATCTTACAGAGATCAGATGGCCACTGAAATAAAACTTGGAACTCCCTAACATGTGAATAGTTGCCCATACTGAGAGACTTTTAGGACTCCTTTAGGAATTTGGGGATCTGAGGGAGACAATGGTATTTGTGAAAAACCTTCAAACTTGTGGTGTGGGCTGAAACTGGAATCAAGAGGCGAGTGAAGGAACATGGAAGCTTGACCTTGACCCCTTTCCTGTCATGTATGCTTTCATTCCCACTAAGGTGTTGGGTGCCTACCTATGGTAGGTGCGGTTATAGGCAGTGAGGCCCCTATCCACCCAGAGCAGGCAGTTTAGAACATACCTACAATCTAGGCCTCAGCCTGGAAAGCAAGAACTCCCAACCCTGGGACCAGCAGTTAGGGTAATGGCTATGTCGCTGGACTCCCACGTAGTCGACTGCGGTTGGATCCGGTTGGATCCCGGATCCGGTGGCTTAGACTCAGGTCGGGCGCATGTGCGTGCCTGCCCAAGATCCTGAGAGGAGAATGAAGGAGAAGAGATTACGGCATGGCCATTCCCCCTGGGGAGTGATTTCTTGCTTTCTGTCTCTCTGTCTCTGTCTGGTGAGCGCTCCCGCCCAAAACAAAAAAAAAAAAAAAAAAAAAAAAAAAAAAAAAGAAAAGAAAAGAAAAAGAACTCCCCTCTTCTGGTACTGTATCTGCAGCTCCGTGTGTGTGTGTGTGTGTGTGTGTGTGTGTGTGTGGTGTGTGTGCACTGCAGCAAGTAAAGACTTAAAAACCAGCTGAAGAAACCATCAGAGGCCAAGATGAGCAGCGGTGACCCGGTCAGCCAAGTCAGCATGGTCAGCAGGGCGAGCAGAGCCCACAAAACCATCTTCCAGCGTTGTTCAACAGGGGATGACCGAAAGCTCAGGCACCTGATGCTCACCTTCTACCGAGATCTCTGAGCTGGCCCCACAACAATCCCAGCTAGGACGTTTCAAAGAAGTAAGGGGGTGGGCGCCAAGTGGGACAGCTGTGGCTCTCTCTGCAGCTTCCCGTCCGCCAAGATGGATGATTCTGGCCCCTCCGGAGTCCTGACAGAGCCAGGAGACAGTGGCAAAAGCCACCGTTGTGGATGCCACCCGGCAGGGCAGCCGGCCTTGAAGGGAGGAGGCCTTGTGGTGCCCAGAACGCCCTAGTTGGGAAGAGTTGACCTAGGCGTCTGGTAAAGGTCGCTGGCTGGCGGCGGCGTGGAGGGCAGCGGTGTGTGGGGGGGAACGGGTACCGAACTTTCTGGGAGCTTTTCGGGACCAGAATTGGTTTCCAGAGAGCATGGAGTTCCCAGGTCCGGGCCTCAGCCTCCAGCAGTAGCGGGGTGACCTGGCGCCCGACTTCCCTCAGGGCCCTCGGCTTCCTCCACCGCCTGGGGCTCCTCAGGCCTCCCAGTTCGGCGCTTTCCCCGAGCTCCAGGTACCAGCAATGTCCACTTAGTCTCGGCTCGCGCAACGCTTGGGCTTTTCGTTCCACAGCAAGCCAACAGGCGGCGGTCCCGGGGACTCCCACCTTCTCTCAAGCCCCGCAGGGGCCTTTCGGGGCCGCCGCCTCCCTCCCGAGGCGGCCAGGTCTCACTGCAGCTAGCCGCGCACCGCGCGCCAGCAGCCACCGCGCTTCGCAGCAGCCAACTTCCCTGCCCGCGGCGCGTCTCCCCAGACAGCCCTTGACCGCAGGCGATTGGACAGCATTGGAGGGGAGGGGCCTAGCGCTAGGCACCGCCCACGGTCGCCTAGCATCCCAGTGTCAACTCGATTGGCACGGGTTGCTAAACGCCCCACCCCGCGGGGCTGGCCTTGGGGCAGCTCCGCCCCTCCCTCCTCCCAGCCACGCCTCCCTCCAGAGCCTGGTCGCCTCAGCCCCGCGTTCCGCCTCATTCGCTGAGCAGGTCCACGAATTGTCAGCGCGCTCCGAGTGACCGCTGAGCCCAGGCGACTGCGGGCTTGCAGTGTTCACCCCAAGGTGTCGACCCGAGCCAATGTGCCCCGGTCCGCTGGGGAGTGAGCAGCCACCGATCGGGGCAACTTGGGACTCAGGACCCGCAGCAGGGGCGTCGGTTTGCGATCGAGACACGGCGAGGAAGGTGAGTGGCCACGCTCAGGGCGAGCGGCTCCTCTCCGCGCCGTTCCGCGGCCGGCGAGCAGGGGACCGGACGCGTCCTGGCGCCCTTCGGTCAGTCAGTCCACACGAGTGTGGCCGCTGTGGGAGGTCAAGGCTGGGCGGGATTTACTCCGAGCCAACATCCGCACTCCCGAACTTGTTTTCAAACCATCCTAACTCGGCCTGGGACACTGCTGTGCGTACGTACCAACTTGGAGTAATTGCCATCATTAGGTGGGGCCCGGGGACGCGTCCCCTGCCCCTCCGTGGCGGCCACACGGCGCGCTGGGGGCGGCCACTGTGCCCACCCGTGTGCGGACGGTAGCTCCCAAATGGCGTGCTGACGGGCTACTGAAAAATGAACGGGCGCCGGAGCCGGTGCGTCTCGGTAACCCGGCGTCCGAGTCTAGCCCGTGGGCTGAGCGAGCGCGCGTCGAGTTGGTGTGTGTGTGTGGGGGGGGGGGTCATCAGTGTCCGGGGAAGTGGAGTGGCC